ATAAAACAATATTAAAATTAAACCTCCAATAATTAAAATTGATAAAAATAAAACTATCCCTAAAAAATAATTTGTAAGTCTTGTTTCTTTAAGATAAAAAAGAATTAGTGATCTATTATGAACTATTTAAATATTATTTTAGATATATACCACATTTATGGCAAATTAGAGGTTGTTTTGAATTATATATGTCATTATTGATTGTGCTGTTTTTTATTGATAGTGATGTTGTGGAGTGGTGGGTTGCAATTCCTTTAAAGTTTGGATTTGATGAATTTGATAGTTGTGTATCATTTATACAATAATACTCTATTATAAATGAGTCGTAGTAAATCTTATTACATCCTTTATTTTCATCTAAAGATCCTTCGCAACAAGAATGGGATCCCACTATATGGAAAATGTTGAATATTATTATAATTATTAAATTTATATTGTATATTAATTTCATATGTTTTTTATTATATTATTTTTATGTTTATGGTTGGGTTTATAGATATATCAAATTTTTTATAAAATAGAATTTTTTTTTTTTATGGTAAAATGATTAATAAAAAATAAAATTAAAATTAAATAGAAAAAAAAAATAAAAAAATTAAAAGTTATTAATGTCTATGTATCACACTATTAAATGTTTTTAAATAAATAACATACCCCCACACCAAATATGTTTTTTTGTGTTAATATATTTTTCTTTATTTGCAAATAACAGATTAATTTTATTTTTCAAATAATTTACAAAGCCATTAAAAAAACAGTATTTTATTTCTATTTCATTGTGATTTTTATAATAATTAATTTTTAAATAAAATCATTGTATATATATTTCGTTATTTGATAGTTTATTGATTTGTTTAAAACATATAAGGAAATGGAAATATATAATTATTTAAAAAAAAAATTTAAAAAAAAAAAAAAAAAAAAATTAAAATTTTCAATTTTTTTTTTAAAATTTATTTAAATTAAAATCATTTTTTTTTAAATAAGATAATAAAGAAAATCATTAAGATCTCTAATAACAATAAAAAAATAATAATAAATAAAAGATAAACAATAACAATAAGAAAAAACATAATGGTTAAAGATGATAACAATGATGTCGAATTCAAAGATATAAATAACTCTAGCAATGGAGAATCGGGTCATAATGGTAATGTGGCAACAACAGCGAAAGTAGTCTATGATATAAGTTCGAATATAGCAGATTCACTTTCAATTTCAAATCGTATAAAAAACAAATGCCAAGAGTTAATATTAAATAAAAAGAATTTGGGCGTAATTACACAGGATGAAGAGTCAAATAATATAATTTCAACATTACTGTCCTCTTTAGAAGTTGATTTTATGGATATTAGAAAATCGATGAGAGATACCTATTTAGATTCCGAATATAACAAAGCAAAAACAAATGAAGAAAAGGTCAAGTTAGAGGCACTTAATTTAACCTATCAAAATATTTTATATGAAAAATATCATTTAGAAAAAGAAATTAACTCATTAAAAGATTTCAAGTAAGTTATCAGAGCTATTAATCTTTTAAACTGATTATATTATTATAAATTTCGTTATTAATCAAATTTTTTAAGCATTGACCAATTTAAACCAGAGTTACTACCAATTGAAACATATAATTCAAAAGTTCAAGATATTTCATATAATACAACATTTAAATCAGAACCTATCGACACAAATGATATCGAATTAAATGAGCATAATAAGCTAGTTAATAGATTAAATTTTGAAATTTATGAAAGAAATAGGTAAGATAAAACCTTTAATTACATCATAAGGTGTATCAATTTATTAATTCTCTTTAATATTTTATTTTAGAATGATTGAACAATTTAATAAAATTCAAAGAGATAAAAAATTACTTTTAGGATTAAACAATACAAAACAAGAATTCCTATCTTCATTATCAAAGAATCTATCAGTAATTTCGACAAAGATAGCACCAGTTCAAAATTCATTAATCAAATCAATTACATCTATTAATAATCCACCTCTAATGTCAAAGAGAACCGCATCATTTAACTCTACATTCGAACAAACAGTTTTTAATTTACCAAAGCCACTATATGTACTTTATTATACTGTAAACTCATTTTTACAATCAAACAAAACAACCAATAACAACGGAGCTAAAAGCCCCTCATTAAGAATCAAAGGGGATATGGAAAAGGCAATTAAATTTAACAAAGAGTATGTAGAAAAACAAACACCAGATAATGAAACCAACGAAGAACAACCAAATGAAGAAGATCAATATTATTATATTCACCCATTATCAGTTTTATTGGACTACACCATTTTAGATACCAAAACAACTTTACAATTTCGTTGGAACTGGTCAAAAAATGTAGTACTTTGCAAAACCCTAGGCCATTCAGATTACTATCTATTCAATATATTCCCAAATGATAATGGCTTTTCAAATTATACAAATGGAATTGATATTCCACCCCTTTCAATATCTTCACAATTTGCTTCACCATTTACATCCCCAACACCATTATCACCAAAACCAATCAATAATAATAGTACCAGTAAAAGAAATAACTTTTTAGCACCATCACCTTTACCACCTCTATCACCACCTTCATCTTTAGGTAAACCTTATAAGTGGGTCCAAGTTTTATGTGGTTTATTACCATGTAAATTTATTCAAATTGAATCATCAAATCAAAAATTCGAATCGACTGATCAATGGTCAATAACTTCAGAAATTATGAATTCAATTTTTAAAAGACTTGAAACTAAAATTTCATTTGAAAAACAAATTGGCTATTTAAAAACACAAACTTTATTATATCCAACCTTAAATATACAATCCACTTTATCAGTACCTTCTTCATCATCATCCTCCTCTTCCTCATCATCATCCAAAGCCTCATCATCATCATCATCATCATCTGACAAAAGTAGTAGAGATAAAGACAAAAGTAGAGATGATAAAAGAGATAAAGTTAGTATCAGCCAAAGCAATAGTAGCAGTAGCAGTAACTTATTTATAAATAATGATAATAGCGAATATCCACCAATTAAATTCATATCAATTCAAGTAGAATCATGCCCAAATGATTTAATAGGGTCAGATTTTATTAAACTACTATTTAATAATAGTATTGTAGATATTGATGTATTGATTATTGTTCCATACGACTATCCAATAGTTCCACCAACATTCCAAATCAACAGTTCAAAATCAAAAGATTATAAAGAAACCCTTACCAACCATATTATACTATTACAAAAAGAACAAATTCAACAGTTGGAGACCTACTTTAATTCACAATTTATTTATCAAAATAGTCACTTAGAATGCAATAACGAAATGTTCCGACAAATGATTATCAGACTAAAAGATATTTTAGAATTTTTATCTAGCGACCCAAGAATTATAAAATCAAAATGTCAGAATAGATTTTCAAAAGGTAAATTAAGATCATTACCGCTCCAATTCGATTCAAAAACCTCACTTTGGAAACATTAAAAAAAAAAAAAATAAAAAAAAAAAAAATAAAATGAAACATTTTTATAAAAAAAAAAAAAAAAAAAAAAAACAATAATATAATGACAACATTCAAACGATAATAGTAGACATTTATTTATCATTTCTCTCTTTTTTAATCTGTTAATATTGTTATTTTTAGTATATTGTTTTGGAGGGTTAAATATATTTAAATTTTATTAATCATAATTCAAATAAATAATTAGAGTGTGTGATGTGGTGAGTTTTGATTTTTTTTATTTTTAATTTTTTTTATTTTTTTTTTTTTTGTGTGTGAGGGTGTGTTAATTCTTTGTGTGCACAAGCGAACAAAGTAGGAATATAACTCTCTTTGTTGACAATACATAACAAAATTTGTATTTTATATATCGTAATTGATTATGATTAAGCTTGATCATCAACAATTTACCTTAGAATTTAAAAAAATAAAAAAAAGGAGGGAGATATAAACTTGGAAAACAAAAATTAATTTATTTAATTTAAATTTAAATTTTAATTATTTTGAATTTAAATAATTTGATTAAATTATTAAATTAAAGTTTTTTTTTTTATTTGTATTTTTTTCTATCTGTTTTATTAATCAGTCCAAAAGGCGCCGCCAAATATATTCACTTATATATATCTTTTAAAAAAAAAAAAAAATATTTATAACAATAACAGTAATAATAATAATAATAATAATATTAAAATTAAAAATAATCTGTGACAATTATTTGTTCTTACAATTAAAAAAATAAGAGATAATTCACATCTTGTTTAATAACACTTCAATTTAAAGTAATTATAATTTTTAATCTTTATTGATAAAATATTTTCAATAATTATATTAATTTATTTATTTTTTTATTTAATTATATTAATTTTAAATTTTTTTTTTTTTTTTATTAATTCCTTTATAATAATAAAAAATAATTTAATTTCATTATCTTTATTAAATAGTAGTTAGTAGTTAAAATATATACATATATTTTTAAATAATAATAAAATATATAAATAATAAAAAATGACTGCTTGTCCTGAAACCCCCAAAAAACAATTTTATAACAACCCAAATAGTTTTGAAGATTCAGATTTTTATAATATTGAATTCAATAGTTTATTGTTTGGTCCAATTCAAAATCAAAAGTATTTATATGATCCATATTTTTATCAACTAAAGAAATTAGAATGGGAAGAAAATAATTTAATGTTAAACTATAGAAATAATAATAATAATAACAACAATAATAATAGTTTTACAAATATTAATAAACTACCACCAAAGGCAACTAAATCAACAAAACTAAATTATGATTAGTTGTTTTTATTATAATGGTCGATTTTTCTTTGTATTTTTAAAATTTCGAAAAAAAAAAATGTAATTTAAATTTAAATAAAAGTTTCATTTCAATTATTTAAATAAATCTATTTTAAAACTATATACGTTTTATTCTTTATTTTCTTTATTATATTTTTCTTTTAAACTTTTTAAAAAAAAAAAAAAAAAAAAAAAAAAAAAAATATTTATTCTTTGATTTATTTAACAATAAATTTATTCAACAAATTAATTTTTTTTAGTTATTAATAGTAAATCACACACAAATCCAATCATGATTTTGATCGGGGAAAAAAAAAAAAAAAATTTTAAAAATTACTTTTTTTTTTTTTAATTTTTTTTTTTAATTTTTTTTTTTAAAATTTAATTTTTAATTTAATTTTTTTTAATTTAAATTTTTTTTAAAAATTTTTAAAAAAAATTTGGTTTATAATTTTAAAAAAAAACAACAATAATAAAAATACATAATTCATTTCATTGATCATTTAAATATATTAAAAATATCAATAAAATAACAATATAATCAATTCACATAATCACAATAATACATTTTTTAAAAAAAGTCACCCACTCCTCAAAAATTTTATTATAAAATCATCAAAAAAAAAATAAAAAACAAAAAATAAAAAATAAAAAAATAATCAATTATACACCATCATTTTTTTAATTACAAATATATAATCATATAATCATATAATCAATATTAAATCTATAGATTAGTTTAAAAGAAAAGTAAAAGAAGAAAAAAAAAAAAAAAGCAGAATTAAAAAATAATTACTTTTTTTTATATTTATATACAAATATATAAATAAAAAGAATATAATGTCATTAATACAATCAGAAATTTCAAATGAAGATCCTGAACAATTATTTAGAGTTTTAGAAGTAATTGGTCAAGGGTAAATAATATTACATTGGAATTATTACAATATTTTAATAATGAAAATGGACATTTAATTAACAATTTTCTTTTTCATTCTTTATTTAATAATAATAATAATAATAACAATAACAATAATAGATCTTTTGGTGTAGTTTGTACATGTATAAATACTATAACCAATGAAGTTGTAGCAATTAAATTTTTAGAAATGGAAGGTGAAGAGAACTCATCATTAAAGAAAGAGATTACAATTTTAAAAAATACAGTTAGATGTCCTTACATTGTAAAATATCATGGTTGTTATGTTAAAGAGAATAATTTAATGATTGTTATGGAATACTGCGATGGCGGTAGTATTTTAGACATTATGCAAATGTGTCAAAGAACACTTACAGAGATTCAAATAGCAGCTATTTTATATCAAATTGTAGAGGGTTTAGTTTATCTTCATTCAAATAAAATTTTACATCGTGATATTAAAGCTGGTAATGTTTTAGTAAATAGATTAGGTCAAGCAAAATTAGCAGGTAAATACTACTATAGATATTAAAACCATTCAACAACTATTCATAAAATCATACTAACCATATTTGTTAAATTAGATTTCGGTGTTAGTGCAATACTTGTAAATACAGGATTTAAACAAAAAACTGTTGTTGGATCACCGTATGTAGAAAAAAAAAGATATATTTATATATATTGAAATTATTCAAACAAAATATTAATATACTACTTATTATTATTATTATTATTTAAAATAGATATTGGATGTCACCAGAGGTTATATCACCACCAAAAGGATCAAATGGATATGATAGTAAAGCAGATATATGGTCATTAGGTATTACAGCTATTGAAATGGCAGAATCAAAACCACCTTTATTCAATTTAAATCCTGTTAAAGTTATTTTTGTAATTCCATTTAGACAACCACCAACACTAGAAACACAGAGCAATTGGTCACCAGAGTTTAATGATTTTATATCAAAATGTTTAAATAAAGAGGCAGATAAAAGACCATCAGCAATTGAACTTTTAGAACATCCATTCATTAAAAAAGGGAAGGAGAATTCACATCATATTATAGGAGAATTAGTAGAAGAATGTATACCAACAATGAAAGAATATAGGAGAAGAAAAGCAGAGGAAGAGGAAGAAGAGGAAGAAGAAGAAGGTGAGGAAAATCACGGCTCATCAGTTTCATCATCAGGTTTACAAAAAGGCACACTCCTTAAAATCAATACTGTTACTCAGAGAGCAACTATTATGAGGGAAGGCAGCGATAGTGATGAAAATGGTGGTAGTGGCGGTACATTTATCTACAATCCTAAAGATAGCTCCAATACAAGTAATTCTGGTACCGTAGTTTTTTCAAGAGGAAATACAAAAGATGATGAAGAGTTTGATTCAGGCTCTGTAGTTTTTAAAGGTTCAACGCTTGTTGAGAAATTTGAAAGTATGAAATTAAAATATCAACAAAAACTAAAACAACACCAAGATAGTGACGATGATGATGACGATGACGAAGATGATGATGAAGATAATTTCGATTCTGGCTCAGTAGTTTATACAAAATCGCCATTACAAGACGATTAAATAAATATATAAATTAATATAAATAACATATTATATAAAAAAAAAATTAAAAATAAAAAACACATCAAAAAAAAAAAAAAATATATACATAACACTTTTTTATTTGCATAGCTTTTTTTAATTATAAAAATAAATAAATAATATACACAATGGAAATATGCAGATTTAATATTTGTTTTATTTTTTATTTTTTATTTTTTAGGAAAAAATAAATGATTTTAATAATTTATTATAATATTAGGATGCAATCTCTATTATTTCATTGATTTTTCTTTTTTCTTTTCTTCTTTTTCTCTTTTTTCTCTTTCTTTCTTTTCTTCTTTTTCTTTTTTCTTCTTTTCCTCCTTTTCTTTTTTTTCTTTTTCTTTTTGTTCCTTTAATTCTTTTTCACGTTGTTTCTTATCTTCTTTGGATTTCTTATCGTCAGAGACATTACTGTTGGAAGAATGTGATAATGGATTTGGAGCTATTGTTGGTGACGATGGTGTTGATGATGTTGGACCTGAGGTATCCTTGCTAACTTTTTTAAATAATGAATTTAAACCACCACTTATACTCATTTTTCTTGAAGGTATACCATTATGATCATCTGTTTGATTTGATGCAGCTGGGGTTGCGGTTGTGGATTGATGTGAACCTGATTCGTTTGAATGTGAAGATGTATCTGAGTTCATAGAGTTTGATCTACTGGCAGCTTTTAAACTAGCTAAACGAGCTTTTTCCATTTCTAACTCTTCTCTTTCTATTATCAAATCCTGTTTTTCAATCTCTTTTAAGTTTTCTTGTTGTTCATCGAAAAGACGTTGTTGCTCTTCTTTTAATTGATTAAGCCTGGCTGTCTCTTCATCTTTGATTCTCTTTTCTTCATCTATTTTCTTTTGTTCCTCCTCTTGTTTAATTCTTTCTACCTCCTTTTCTTTTTCTTCATCAACCTTTCTTTTTTGCTCTCTTAATCGTTGTAACTCTTCTTGCTGTTCCTTTAAAGCCTGATCCTGTTTAATTTTATCCTGTTTTTCTTTTTCTTCTTTTTCTAATCTTTCCTTTTCCTCTTTTTCTATTTTTTCCTTTTCTTCCTTTTCTAATCTTTCTTTTTCTTCTTTTTCTAATTTTTCTTTTTCTTCTTTTTCTTTTTCTTTTAAAACTCTTTCTTGTTCTTGTTGTTTGAGTACTCTATCTTTTTCCTCTTGTTCAGCTCTTTCTTTTTCCTCTTTTTCTTTTAGTTTTGATATTCTTTCTTTTTCTTGCTCTTCCTTGGCATTCTGGGCAATTTGACGCTCTCTAGCTAAACGTTCAACCTCTTGTCTTTCTTTTTCTTCTCTATCAGCACGTTCCTTAAATTTCTTTTCTTCTCTAATTTTACGGTCATTTTCTAATTTTAATTCTCTTTCCTGTTCTAAACGTTTTTTTTCTTCCTCAGCTTTCTTTTCTTCTTCCTCCTTGCGTTTTTTTTCTAAGGATCTCTTTTCTTCATCCTCCTTACGCTTTTTTTCAGCTGCTACCCTCTTTTCTTCATCTTCGACTCTTTTCTTTTCGGTTGCAATTCTTTTTTCTTCATCTAGACGTTTTTTTTCTGCTATTCTTTTATCTTCATCTTCTTTACGCTTTTTCTCTAATAAATTTTTTTTTTTTTCTTCCTCTTCTTTTTTCAATTTTTCTTGCTCCTGAAGTTTAGCCTTCTTTTCATTTTCTTCTTTTTGCTTTCTTTCTTCTTCTTCTTGCTTTAGCTTATTTTGCCTCTCTAGTTCCTCTTTTTCCTTAATTCCTTTTTCTTTAAGCTCCTTTTCTTTTTGTTTAGTAGATTTTTCATTATCGTCACTACTATCACTGTCACTATTGGAGCTATCATCACTATCTTCATTTGAGCTTTGGTCACTATCTTCATCACTGTCATCATCACTATCATTCATTTGATCCAACATAAATTGAAGTTCCTCAACCTTTTTCTTCATTCTCTTTAAGTTATATTCGGCATCAATTCTTCGTTGTGATTCCTAAAAAAAAAAATATTTATATTTAATATAAATTTTTATGAGTTTTAAATTTTTATTTAATTTAAAAATACTTACTTTATTTAAATTATCATACATTCTTTGTTCAATTTCTTTGATTTTCTTTTCATATTCGACAGCACTATCTCTAAATGAATCTCCACGTTGTTTCTCTTTAAATTGTGACTCTTCTGCAGATTTTAATTTTTCAGATTGAACATGAATTTCGTGAGTTAAATCATCAGTTCTACTTTCTAAATCTTGAACAGATAAACGAAGTTTTTCGATAGTCTCTTGAGATTTTGATTTTTCTGCCTCGACCTTGTCAAGAACTTTAATTAAAAGTGATTTCGAAATCATTTTGGTAGAGGCATCTCTAAATTTGTTTGTCCACTTTTCATCAGTATTAAGAATTAAATCTAAACCAATTAAATCTTCAATCTTTTGAATTTCTTCGAGACTATTTAGTATAATTTGTTCAGTCGATAAAAGATTTGATGAGCTACCTTGTGAAGTAAGTGTTGGTGATGTTGGTACTGATAAAAGACTATTAGATGATAATTCTTTTTTAGGAGACGATGATGGAGTTATATTTTGTGACTGTTGATTTGAAACCTGTAACTGTTGATTACCATTGGTGCCCGGTATTAATTTTGATAAACCTGAAAATAATTTATTACCATTTTGCTGTTGTTGTTGTAGCTGTTGTCTCTTTACGGCCAATGCAACTTCTTTGTTGAAATCTTTTTGATTCTGTATCATTCTATTTCTGGTATCCTCAAGGATTTCTTTAAGCTTTAAGTTATCGTCGGCCATCTCGCTGAAAAGTTCGCTCATTGCTTGAATTCTTCTTTCTAACTCTTGCGATTTCTTTCTCTCTTTAAACATTTCTTCATCTTTATAGCTGGTAATTTCATGCAACCCCTCGACGACCTTATTATTTGCATCTTCTTTTTTTGTAATTTCATCTTTTAATTTTTTGACCTTTAATTTAAATCGGTATTTTCTTCAGATTTCTCTTGTAAACAAAAAACAATTGCTGAAATTTTTCTTTCATATTCATCTCTTATTTCCTCGATAATTTTATTTCTACTAAACTCCTCTTTTGATAGACTTGTTGTTGTAGAACTCGTACTATTAGGATTGCCATTTAAATTACTATTGCTTGATGCTAAAACTGAGCGGGTATTGCTCATTTTAATTTAAAATTTTATTTCGAAATTATTATTAAATAACAAAAAAAAAAAAAAAAAAAAAATTATATATAAATAATATAAAATAATAAACTATTTATTTTTAATTTATTATTTATATAATATAGATATATATATAAATGATATATATATAATATAATTATTAATTGTATATTATTATTTGTACACACTCTTTTGGTTTTAAAGAAAAAAAAAAAAAAATCTGTAAAATTTTTTAATTATTTTTTAAAAATTTTTGAAATTATTTTTTAATTAAAAATTTTTTTTTTTTTTTTTTTTTTTTTTTTATTAATTTATTTAGTAGTTATACCAAAATGGTATTGAAAATTGTCATTATATTTATTTTTAGAATAAAAACTATAAGCTATAGTAAAATGAAGAAATTATATGCATTGATTAAATCGAACATTTGAAACCCATATAAAATTTTTTGAAAATTTTAAAGTGAGATGGTCAATGTAGTTCATTGAAAATTGAAACTATTATTAAAAAAAAAAAAAAAATAGTTAAGTGTTATGAAAATATAAACATTTTGATTTTGATTTTTCAAATAATAACTTAACTAAAATACTGATGCACTGGGTAATTTCAATAATTAAACTTAAAACGTGTTAAATTAATAATTTTATTTTAAATTAATTTCAATTAAAATAATAATCAAAACTTAAAACTTACTTTTTTAATATTTATTTATTTTTATTCAAAGAAAAGATAATAATATTAACAATTCTTTATCTTTTTCTATTTCTCTTTCTATTTTTTTATTTTTAAAATAATCACCCGATTATAATCGAACTTGACAGGTACAAGTCGTTTTGTGTATTTTTATTTTAAATTTAAATTTCAATCGGCGCAATATAACGCCATAAATAAGATACTTTTTTTTTTTTATTTTTTTTTATTTGTTTTATAAAAAAAAATTTTATTTTATTTTTTTTTTATTTTTTTTATTTTTTTTATTTTTTTTTATTTTATTTTAAAAATTTAAAAATTTTCTTTTCTTTTCTTTTTTTATTTTTATTTTTGTTATTTTTATTTTTTTTTTTTTTTACCAAATAATCAATAATAAATAATAAATCAATAATAATAAATAATAAAGTTTATATAAATTATATATAACTTTTTTTACTATTTTTATATTGTATAAATTATAATTAAATAATATAAAATAAAAATTAAAATTTAATTTTAAAAAAATTAAAAAAATTAAAAAAAAAACCTTTTTTTTTTTTTTTTTTACAAACCCTTAAAACACACACATATTGTAAATAAATATAAATAATATTTGTTAAAGATATAAATATATACAAACAAAAATGAATATAAAATCAATTATGTCTCTTTTTGTTTGTATTTATATTTTTACAATATTAACCGAAACCGTACATTCACAAGGCCCATATCCATATGGTACAGAACCAGGATGCTCGATGTACGGGTTTAACGCAAGTTATATTATTGTAGATAATTTCAAGCCAGTAAGTAGCATTATAAAAAAACAAATTAGGAATAGCTAAATATGTCATATAGGAAATTAAAATTTAGGGATAAAAAAAAAATTTTTTTATGTTCATTTTTTAATCATTTCTTTTTTTAATAGTATGATCATACAGATATGGCACCAAACACTTGTCAAGCCTCTCACCCAGAATATTCAAATTCTTCATGTTGCACATTCAATCAAACTTTAGTATTATCAGATAATATGGTTATGGGAGCAGCAATTTTTGGACGTTGTCCAGCATGTCTTTATAATGTATGGGATCTCTGGTGTGCATCATCATGTAGTCCATATCAATCATCTTTTATGATCCCCACCAAAAATAATACCGAGGGTAAAATTTCAAATATTGATTTTATTCTTCATCCAGATTATGCTTGGGGTTTATATAATAGTTGTAAAGATGTAAATTCAAATGGTGCACCACCATTCGGCACCCTTTGCCCAACACCATTACTGTTCTTCCAATCAATTTTCTCCACCAACCCTGCATTTTCCATCAACTGGGTTTTCAACGAAACTGGTTATAATGGTAATATAACTCCATGTACTGCAAGTTGTTCATGTGGTCAATGTAGTGACTCTTGTACTGCTGCTCCTGCTGTAAACAATATTGTTTTCTTTAATCAATCATTACCATCAACCTATATGTTTGACCAAGAGTAAATAATTATTTAGTAGTTATCATTTAGACGTTTTTAATTGTTTTATTAACACTTTTTTTTTATTTTTTATTTCAATAGATTACCATGGTTAACAGTCGGATTAATTTGGGGATTTGTAATTTTTATTTTATCATTACTTTTATTATCGAGTGGTTGGATGTTATACAAAAAAGAACTTTTATTAATCAGTACATCAAATCAAAAAATTGGAGTATTTATGGCATTGTTCATAGTTTACGTTATCGCTATTTTAATTCCATTTATTATTGGCGCAGTCGATTTACCAACTCAAACTACCCAATGTCTTTGGAAAATGCCAGGTGATCACGAATGGTACTGCGATTTAGCTTTATTTGTTGGATCATATGTCATGTTTGCTTTGACTGTTCTTTTTGTCATGACCCTTGTTATTTATCTTTTATCATTATCATCCCAACCAATCCCAGGCTCTTCATCAGATGTTTCAGTTAGACTTCCAAACTCTGATTCACCATCAGACTCTCCATTATTGCAGTCAAGTTCAAGTGAAAATAGTTCTAGTTTTACAGCTGGTAATTTTGTTCAAAAATTATTTTACAAATATGGTCAAGTAATCGCATCTCGTCCATTGATCGTCATTGGAGTTTGTCTTATATTCACCGTTGTTATGGGTGTTGGTATTAAATTTTTACAAATTGAAGAAGATCCAGTCAAACTTTGGGTTGCACCTGGAAGTAGAGCTGCTCTTGATAAAGATTATTTTGATTCAAACTTTGGACCATTTTATAGAGTTGAACAATTAATTATTACACCAAAACAACCAGTCGATTCTATCTTCCAATACGATCTCCTTTTAGAACTCTTTAACATTGAAATTCAACTTATGAATTTAGTTACAAACTACAATAACAAAACTGTCACCTTACAAGATCTTTGTTTCCAACCAACTAAAAAAGGTTGTCTCGTAGAAAGTGTTTCTGGTCTTTGGCAAAGAGATATTAGTAAACTAAATACTACTCAAAATAATATTTTAGGTTATTATGAAAGTTGTCAATCTAATTTACTTGGTGCTTCATGTATGGATGCAGTTGGTGCACCAGTAAATCCAAGTGTAGTTTTAGGTGGTTGGGAGAAAAACTCAACCAATGCAACCACATTTGTTACTACATTCCTTCTTAACAATCCAAACTCTCAAGTAGACGAAGCAATGGCCTGGGAAAATGTATGGTTAGCTACTATCCAAAACATTTCAAAAGCCTCAACAGTTTTCGATATCTCTTACAGTGCAGAGCGTTCAGTCCAAGATGAATTATCACGTGAAAGTGAAGCTGATGTTCCAACCATTATTATTAGTTACAGTGTTATGTTTTTATATGTCTCATTTGCCCTAGGTAGTTACTACCCATTCCCAAATAGATTCAGTTCCATTTTGGTTCGTTCAAGATTTGCACTTGGTTTATGCGGTATTTTAGTAGTTGCATCATCAATCGTTATCGCAGTAGGTATTTGCAGTTATGGTGGTCTTAAAGCCACTCTTATTATTTCCGAGGTTATTCCTTTCTTAGTCTTGGCCATTGGTGTCGATAATATCTTTATTATGGTAAACACTTTTGAAACTCTTCATGTAGTTCGTTACGATCCTCAAACTGGTGCTTCAATTTTACCCACCGCCGAGGATTCATTAGCTCGTACTCTTTCAAAAGTTGGTCCATCCATGGCTTTAGCTTCTCTTAGTGAAGCATTAGCTTTTCTTTTAGGTTCATTTACTGGTATGCCAGCCGTTCAGGCTTTCTCATATTATGCTTCAGTTGCTATTCTCTTTGATTTCCTTCTTCAAATTAGTGCTTTTGCTTCTCTTTTGGTTTTGGATACCAAACGTACAGAATCAAGACGTATCGATTGTTTCCCATGTGCTCAACTTGGCGGTGATAATTCAGATGATGAAGATGAAGATGAACGTCAACCATTTATGCGTGCTGACATCAACAACAATCTCAACTCACAATATAAACTTAAAAAAGCTAAAAAGACTACTCTACTTCAACTTGTCTTTAAGAACACCATTACCCCACTTGTCGTTAATCCAATATTTAAGATTTTTTCAATCGTTTTCTTTATTGGTATGCTTTTAGTTGGTATCAATTATTCTTTCCAAGTTAGTATTGGTCTCGATCAAAGAGTAGCTCTTCCAAGAGATAGTTATCTTCAAGCTTATTTTGATAATTTAGCAAATTATTTAGAAGTTGGTCCACCATTTTATATTGTTGTCAAAGGTGATTATGACTATGTAGATGTAGCAACACAAAACGACTTATGTACTGTAGCAGGTTGTAATAATAATAGTCTTGTCAATGTTTTCAATAATGCTCCTTATATTAGTCAAGGTATCAGCTCATGGCTCGACGATTATTTATCTTGGTCACAAACCTTTGGTTGTTGTTTATCTTATCCAAATGGTACCATTTGTACTGATCCAACTTGTTCCCCATGCTTTTTAGTAACCAGCACAGGTCGTCCAACACCAGAAGATTTCCAAGAGTATCTCCATGATTTCCTTGGTGCACCAAATACTGCCTCTTGTCCAATTGCAGGTTTAGCCTACACAAGTGATACCAATATTCAAAATGGTACAATTATTGCCTCACGTTTCGATGGTTATCATACACCATTACGTACTCAAAACGACTATATCAATGCTATTCAAACTGCTTATTTCTTGGCTGATGAATCCAAATTGGATGTTATGGTCTATAGTATTTTCTATGTCTACTTTGAAGCTTATCTTACTATCAAGAGTGTTGCTATTACCTGCGTTCTTTTGGCTTTGGCTGGTGTATTTGTAATGTGTTTAATCTTATTAATGAACCCATTAGTTTCGTTATTGGTAGTTATTTCAGTAGGTATGATTTGTATTGATCTTCTTGGTATTATGACCCTTTGGAATATTAGTCTCAATGCAGTATCGGTAGTAAATCTAGTAATGGCAATTGGTATTGGTATCGAATTCAACGTTCATATTGCATCCGCATTTGTCAAAGCTCCAAAACATCTCTCAAGAGAACAAAGAGTTAAATATGCCCTCAACGAAATGGGTGCCAATATCATTTCTGGTATTTTCATTACAAAATTATTAGGTGTCTCTGTACTTGGTTTCTCTTCATCCGAAATTTTCACTGTTTATTACTTCCGTATGTACTTATCTATAGTTATTCTTGGTGCTCTTCATGGTATTATTCTTCTCCCAGTATTACTTTGCTTATTTGGTAGTGATGCTGTTCAATTTGATCGTATTTGTAGCAAAAAAGATAAATATTCTTTATCTGAAGAATAAAATAATGGAATTAACCTCAATTTTATAACATTTATAATATTGCAGAAATTATTTAAATAAAAAATAAAGTTATTTAATTAAATAATTAAATAATTATATAATTAAAATTTTTTTATTAATTTACATTTATATATGTTATATTTTTAATTTATTCCCCCATAAGGATTAACATCACTTTTTTTTTTTTTAATTTTATTTTTATTTTTTTTCATTTTTTTATAATTTTTAAAAAAAATTTTAAATTAAAATTTTTTTTTTTTTTTTCATTTTTTTTAATTTCTTTTATCATTTTTTTTTTCATTAACATATGCACCAATCGTGATAAGATCACCACCTATGATTTTTTGATCAAGTACCAAATACAACATGTACCAACCTCCACAACAGCAAGGTGTTTCACAAATACCTATATCACCACAACAACCAATCCAAAAACCATTACCACAACATTATATTTCAATACAAGGTAATCCTCAACCAATAGGTCAACAACAACCACAACCTCAACAAAACTATATACAACAACCTATTGGCGGATTAGCACCACCGCAACAACCACAACCTCAACAACCACAGCAACTTCAACAGCCACAACAACTACAACAAACCCAACAACCAAATCTACAACCACAACAACCAAATCTACAACAACAGCCACAAATACAACAACCATCACAACCACAACAACCAGTTCAATCACAACCACAGCCACAACAGACTCCTTCACAATCAAGTTATGCCCCTCAACAACAAGCACAACAATTTCAAGAACAAGTTGATTTTTTTTTAAAAAAATTAGATTTTAATTTAACAGATGAACAAGGAAAAATTATTTTAGAACAATGCAAACAAAAGATTATATCATTTGGTAATACAAGTATTGCATTCGCATTAAAAAATAAATTCTTCTCGCATTGTGCAAGCTACCAAAGTACAATTATTCAATTTGTTAGACAACAATCACTAATTAGTAGAGAGGGTGCATCAGCAAAACCAGTACCAGTAACAAATTCAGTTAAAGTTACAAAAGAATTTTTCAAAGAAAAGTTAAATCTATGGAAAACAATAATCGCATTCTTTAGAGAGAATCTCAAGTTTTTTAACAAATGGAGAGAACTGGTCTATGTTGTAATTCAAAATATAAACCAAACTCATCTAATACCACTAGAGATCCAAAATGAATTCTTCTCTGAATCGTTTTCATTCTTAAAAACTATATTTACATATGTTGGTGTCGAATTTCCTCCCTATCAAACTCTCAGAGAAGTTAAACTATCCAACACACATCCAAGTTTAGAGTTTCAATCATTTATCGAACCATATTTTGGTAGAGCAGTTCGTTTATCAACACTTTTAACACTTTCAAGTTTATCAAGTACTGCTAGAATTGTAGGTTCTTCAATTTCTTGTAATCAAGACAACATGATTTCCTATACCAATCAACTAACTGAATCACCACCATTCCTCACCTCAAATAAACCTTTAAATCATAAATATGCTATTGTAGCTCAACATCTTTTTTCACAAAGTCTAACATTGGAACCAATTAAAGAGTTATTATTCCCACATGTTCAATCAAATACTTTAAAAACAAAAATAATTTCCATTATAACCGAAGCAGCTATTTTAAAGACTTTACAACTATTAAACAAATATCGTAAGCTTTAATTAATCAAATAATATAAATAATAATAATAATAATAACAAATTGAATCTTAAATTATAAATGGTATTAACTTTTTTTTTTTATTTTTTTTTATTTCCTTCCTCTATTAAAGCAAAACAATCAATTGATAATCAAATTACAAGTGATTCATGGAAAGAGTGGATATTATTTAGTGATCAATTTTATTCATTAGTCGAGGGAACATTGATAGATTTAGAACAATATATTGTTGGTTTGTCAGAAAAAAGAATGAATGATGGTGACACAATTAAAGATAATATGGTATTATATTTATTTACAAAAATTACAAATATTACTGAAGTTAAACAACTTTTTATGCAAGATTTACAAATTGTAAATGCAAATAACTTTGGATACTTAACACCAATAGTACTTTCGTTTTGTAATAATAATGAAGTTTATACAGCTAGTTCTCAAAACCTTTCACTTTATTTCTTTGTAAGCTATTAATTATATTATATACTTCCATATTATAAAATTCATATGCAGTTATATACTAATAATTTAAATTATTTAGCTTTTAAAAATTAGTAAAGATATACCCGATGCAGATATTCAAAGCTATGTTAAAAGAGTTTTAGACAAGTGTCAATTTAATCACGCAATTTTTCCATTTTATAGAAATTGGTGGGATGTAGAAAGAAGCAAACAAAAGCAAGAATTTATAACAACAACCGAAGATATTAGACTTTACAGTATCTATTGTACCGTTATACCAACAGATAGCGAAGCTGAAATTATTAAATATTATTATTCAAACACCGAACAACAATATTATTTCCCTGGTGGGATTAAGGTCAATGGTAAAGTTAAACCAGTTTCAAATTTAATTTTATTAAATATGCCACATAGATGCAGAAAAAAGTAATTATATAATATCAGCGTATTTATTTAATTTATATTTATATTAATTGATATCATTTCATTTAATTTAGCCTTCTTCAAGAATTTTCTATGCTATTAGATAAAGATGGACTAATTCCACCTGCATTTTTAGAAGATTATAACAAATTGGTGCATTATACACCAAGTAGTTTATTACAGCTTCCTTTAAGTTATTTGAAAAGAATTGAAAAAACAATACCTTACCATACAGTATTAGAATTAGTTAGTCATAGATTATTTAAACTATTAAAGGGAAATAAAGAACTACCAATAATTTTGAAAACACTTCAAGATGTTCAATCACTTAAACCAATTCAAAATTTACAGCTATCGAAATCAATTGATTATTTAATTTTAAAAATTTCAAACTCATTTGGTATAGATATTTTAAGCAATAAAGATTTTTTAAAAACTTTAAATATCGGTCCATTGTTAAATAGAAGAGTCATTACAACCATTGCAAGATTAATTAAAATTAAGTAAGTAAAAATAACTGTGGTTAATGTATAGCCACCCTAGATTTTTTATATTAACAAAATTTTTATTTTTATAAAAAAAAACAGGGGTATATCGGAATATAGTAGGGTTCAAGATGTTCCCATCTTTATTGAAAATGCTTATAAAAACTATCCATATATGTTTTCAAAGACATCATTAGAATTTTTCCCAGATTTTATGAAAGCAGAGTTTGAAAAAATAAATCATCAACCAATTAAACCACCAACTCTTCAAAAAATTCAACATGAGAATCAACAAAAACTTTCACTTTTCTCTCAAGGCTCAAAACTATTGGTTCAACAAAAACAAAATATTTTACAACATTATCAACAAGAAAATAATACAAGTTTATTCTTTTGTCAAGTAAAAATCATACTTTTTTATGTGTAAAATTTATATCTCATTTACTAACTAATATTTTATTTTATAAACTTTTAGATTTTTGTATATATTTTAGAAGCCAAAATTAAAAATGAAATTTTAATGCCATTGGTTCAACAACTAGTTTTTGTTCCACCAGGTATAGGAAATGTTCAAATTACCAAATTAACTGCAATTTTTGTTGATTTCATTCTAGATGAAGTTATAGCTAATCATTCACAAAACAAAGCAGACTTGGTTAAAAAAGTTTCAGAAATTTTATGTCAATGGATATTTAAATATAAAATTTTTTCATTAAACACAATAATTTTATTTTTATTAGATAGAGATGATAATATTTATTCATATCAAATTTTAGATTTAATGCTATTTAGCTCAAGTGTATGGATGCAATAATATAGATAATATTAATAATCTTTAATACTAATATATAATTTTTTTTTTTAAAATTATAGGAAATAAAAGAAAGGGTTCAATTCTTCGAGCAAAAACATTTTAGAGACAATGTGGTTTATAAAACTGATGATAACTATTTCTTAAAGAATATTGAATTCAATTCTTTATTTAATGATTTAATTCCAACTCTTACCGATCCAACAACACACTCTGAAATCTCATTCCCAGGTGCCGCATTACCAATTTATTACAGCAATACTATTTCAAGATTTATACCAATAATGGATATCATGATGAGCAAGTGCGTCGAATTAGATAGAAAAGATCTATTAGAGAAATTAATTGATCAATTCCAAGTTCCATATCGTTACTATCATGATGAAAAAGAAACAACAATTAAAGAACTTTTAATTTATTATTTCGACTCAAAGATGTTCCAAACCTCACCAGATTCAAAACTATTATTCGTAAAATTATTAAACTTTGACAATGGTAACTATAATCTTATTAAAATTAATACTATAGCCATATTAAATTATTGTCCCCTTACTTATATAAATTTAATATTTTTATTAGAAACTAAATTCACAAGCTATTTTAATCAATATTTAAAAACCCAAAAAATTGAAGAGTTCCCAAATAACGATAACTATAAAGATTATTTTAGAGAATTAATAACACCATTATCCGATATGATTGACCTCTCAAATCCAAATGTGTTTAATTCGTTGTCTTTAAAACTCGAACAATTATTTTTACAGGAATACCCAAATCAGATTGAAAATAAATTAAGCTCAATAATTATGGAAATATTGTTACTACCAATCAATCCAAATGACTCAGTATTGGGAATAACTAGTTTATTGGACTATTATACAAATATTAAAACAAACTTCCCAAATAGAAAAGAGCCACCTTCCTCATCAATGGTCCTATCATTATCAATAATCTTTGCAATTTTACCCCCATCTTTCCATAATTATTTGATTCCTAAAATTACTCAAGATTTAATTACTGAAATTGATTTATTAAAATTAAATCCACCAATAATGGTAAATATATTTAAACCCACTTTTATTCTATCATTGAAACAATATTAATTTTTTTATTTTTATTTAGAAAAATCAATATCTATATGGCAACTACTCAACAAATGTTCAAGAAAAGATGACAGTACCATTAGAATGGTATATCTATTTTATCCAATTTTACTTTTTATATTGTCCATTAGAGAGATTATTAACATTCAAAGATATAATAGCAAATGCCAAAAGTGAAGTTAAGACCGTATCTCAGTACTATGTCTTGCTATCAATATTCGCTCCATTATTACCAAGATATGGGGCTCAAACAAACCATTTAACTTCAATTGTTAGAGAAATACTATCGCCATTAAATGATGCAGATGTTTCAAATGATATAGAATCAAAACTTTTACAAATGGATACAAATTGGTTAACAAACGAAAATGATATAGATATCGATTTTATGAACTTGGATGACTATTATGACGATGACGATGATATTTTTAGTGACAATAACACAAGCAACACCAATAATGACGAAATGGACTTTACACAGGGCATTGGACATCATGATAGTACAAATATCTTTAGCAACCACAGAAATGACGATATCATGAACGATAACAATAGCACCGACGAAAATAGTAGCTTTTTAAACAAAGAACAAAAGAAAATTCTATTAAAGAACGACTTAGAAATTATAGAAACCATTACCGATTGGATCTACCATTTGAAATCACTTGTTCCTTTCTCTCCATTCCGTGAAGAACTTTATAGAACTGTCAAGGAATTTAAACCCAATTTCAAGAAAAACTTTAAAACTTTTTAAATAAATAAAAAAGAAAAATATCAAATATTTTTTTATTATAAAAACATGTGCACAAATTTAAATTTTTTATTTATTTCTTTTATTTGAGAAAAAAAAATTGTAATATTGTTTTTTTTTTAGATTTAATTTATAAAAATTTGTAAAAATTTTTTTTTTATTGTATTAATTAATATGGTTTTATATTATTTTAAATAAATATAAATATTTAAAAATAAAAAATTATTTAATTATTTCGGTTGTTTTTTTTTTTCTTTAATTATTTTTGAATGAATGTACACCAAGTATAATAGTAGCAAACTTCTATTTAGGAAGAAATTCGCCGTGGAAATAGTGACTTTCTCTCTGTCCGTGAAAAAAACCTCTTACAAATCTTTATATTGTATTTGGCGGATTAGGACAATCTTTCATGTAAATTGTTCAAATGATAAATAATTTTGTAAAAACGAACGACCAAAACTCCAAACTTATGGTAGTCAAAAAAAAAAAAAACTGAAAAACTAAAAAAAATTAAAAAAAAAAATTTTGAAGAAATTTTGTAAAAAAATAAGTTCAAAATATAAAAAAAAAATAAATAAAAAAATATACAAATAATTATTTTATTATTACTACTTTATAACAAAAAAAAAAAATAATCGAATTTTTTTTTTTTTTTTTTTTTTTATCTATACAAAAGTAGTTATAGTTTTTATTTTAATTTTTAAAAGGGATTTAAAATTTAGTTGACTGTTAAAAATTTAACACGAATAAATTGTGAGCCTATTCTAGTGTTGTCTAAATTTTGTTGAGCAACTAAAGCATTTTCTATATTATTAAAAGTAACAAAACATTTTGATTTTCCATTATTTGGATTTATATTTATCTATAAAGAGAGAATTATATTAATATTTGGTTTTATAATTTTTCTTTAATTTATATTAAATAAATATACTTACATTTATGCTCTTTAAATCTCCGTATTTTGAAAAAATATTAATTAAATAAGAATTTTCTAAGGTACCTTTATATGTACAAATTAAAATTGAACCGGCGTTTATATTGTTTGTATTTTTTGATGATCTTTCTCTTGGCGAAATTTGTGGCGAGTTTGATGGTGAGTGATGTGGTTGTGGTTGGGTTTGTGGTAAAGAGTATACAATAGTTGGTTGTTGTGGATGGTGGTGATGGTGATAGTAATATTGTGGGGTTTGTGGATGGTGATATATGTAATAGTTTGATTCATTTTGGCTCCAATTTGCTGGAGCTGGTGCATGGTGTACTTGATATATTGGTGGAGATGAATTTGGTGATGAAGAAATTATTATTGGTTCATTTGAATAAATTTGTGGGTAATAGCTATTTGGATAAGTATTTGAGTTGTATTCCTAAAAATGATAAAATATTAATTAATATATATTTAAAAATTATTTTATGTATATTTTTTAACAAAACTTACTTGTGTATAATAGCCTGAATATGGTTCATTTTGGTAAATATAGGTATATTGTGGAACTTGTGGGATTGGTTGTGGCTGTGGGGAAGATGAACGTTGTGGTGGAATTGGTAATGGTTGTGGTGATGATGAATGTTGTGGTGGAATTGGTAATGGTTGTGGTGATGGTGAACGTTGTGGTGATTGTTGAATAGATGATGAAGATGAAATCGACGACATTGATGGACTTGAAGTTATTGTTGGTGATACTGAACCATTTATTGAATTTATTGATGATGTTGAGCCTGATAATGAAAGATGAGGAATTTGTTGAATTTGTTTTTTATTTGGTGCATATTTAACTAGTGGTTTAAAAAAAAAAAAAAAAAAATTAATATTTTTAAAATAATGGTTAAAATTAACAACAATACATACCAACTAAAGGAGTTTCACCTAAAATTTAATGGACCAGACATATTTGAAGAGCATTAATTGAATTTGAATAT